AGACTTTAGATTACGTTCCTCGTCATCATGTGGGATGGTTCAATCATCTGAAGGCCTAAGAACCACATCAGGGCTTTTCCAGAGAAGGAAAACTAACATACAAGTCCTGCCATGATTTCCAGCCTGCCCACCTGAGCTCTAGAATCAGAACTGCAGCATCACCTCTTGCTTGGGCTTCTAGCTGCTGCCCTTCCCTGGGAATTTGAAGCTTGCCTGTTCCCATGTGTGTTCCCGTGCCCTGTGGAGTGAGAGGCTGGCAGCTAGCACCGAGGGAAGGTTTGGGTGCTAGACTCAAAGTAGATCCACCATAAAATGAGATCGTAGAATTACAGATTTAAAGAAGGCTGAGACTTTTCATTAAAGACTATTCATTACTTGTAGAAGAAAAATATTAAAACATCGTATTTCTCTATTTAGAAAGGGAGAGTAGTTAGTATTAAGAAAACTTGGAAGTATTTTGTTTTTGTGAATTGGTGACTATGAACTCTATCTGCCCTTAGGAAATACAAAATAATTCACATCTTCGTAAAATACTAAAATTAATATATTTCCCATGCAGCACACTTTAAATTTAAATGCTAGTTAGATCTAAAACTCCTAGTATGTTGAAAAATAAGTCCTATGAATCTTTTAACAAGTAGAAATGATTTAAATATCTTTTAGATTGAGGTAATCAATTAGAAAGGTATTAAGTAAAAGTATGTACAAAGAAAACAGGTGCGATTCCATTGAACATAATCGGCATAAAGGTATACTTTGTAGAAGAAAAGTAATATAGAGTTCTCTAATATTCCAAGGTCCAGAGATTCATAGTAAAATATTTTATTGTGGGGAGATACTCTGACGAAAATTTAAAAGAATGGTTGTCAGCCCACATTGAAACATGCATGTATTTGACATGTATATGTTACTCAATTCATATTTCCTAGAACATATCTCTTTCTGATAATACTTTATCCACACTGAAATCAGCATATTATCACTGAATCGTCTCCAGTACAAAAGGTGCCATTTTAATAGCACAATACAATAAAGTAGCTCTTTAATTTCAGGGACTAATGCATCTGATTTAATAGTACATTCTAAATTAAACAGATAACACGATTTTTCTTCCTTGCTTTCAATATAAAAAGAGGCCAAGATATTTGCATATGAAATATATTAACTGTCATGAAATACTTATCTTCACAGCCAGTTTTAGTAGACGATCATGCAGTCAGAATTCAAACGGAAATTTAGTGACAATTTTATTTAAGGACATTGTCATCCTGGTTCTGGAAAAACCATCAGGACACTATTTATGCCAAGGAGGACTTCGGAAGCTCAGAGTTGCCAGTTATGCAAACTCATTTGAAACAGCAGCTCAGACGTCACTCAAGGACGCCAGGGTTGTCATGATTTTCTTCTGCTGTGACCATCTTTGTAATTGTGCATTTAAAAAAGAAACATTATATTTTCAACCCATTTAACATCAGGAAGAAGATAATGAACCTCAGGGGTGATTGTTTTGATGATAACATTGAAATTGTAATAGGTTTTGGTAGAGAAATGCCATTTTTCCTGTGATGTATTTTATTTTTCTAGTTGCTTTCTTCCTCTCTTGCTCGTCTTGGTTCACAGTAATGATGTGCAGTATTGGTAGAGGATTATTACTGTATGACAAATGAAAATATGGTAGGCATTGGGGCTTGTACACACCCAATAAAGTGTGTTTATTTCTTTTCTCCAAATGAGTTCAGAATTCTATGAGAGAAAGATTCAGGATTTAGATTAAGAACTAAACATTGACTTTATTATTAGCAAAGCTGATTGAAGAACTTGATATCTACATATGTCAGAAGAGAACTCCTTACCACTTACTCCGGATTTGAGCTTATGAACAAACATAGGGCACTGGAAAAAACACAGAATGTCCTTGCAGGAGTAGACCCGAGTATCTTACGGTCAGGGAAAATCGAACAACACTTCCACACTTCCTTCTGCCTACCTTACAGTACGAGCTTCCTGTCGTTGCATAAAAATTACCCCAAATGCAGCTGCTTAGATCCACACCCAGGTATCATCTCTCACGTGGTTGGATCCAGACTTGGCTTGTCGGGGTCCTGTACTCGGGCTATAGCATCTTGCAGTGCAGATGCTGGTCTGGGCTGAGCTCAAGGGCTTCTTCCAAGTTCATGTGGCTGTTGGCAGTGCTAATTTTCTTGCAGTTGAAAAGCATGTGCCAGCCTGCTTCTTCAACACCAGATGGATAATCTCTGTGATCTGAACCGAAGCCCAAGCAGTCTTTAAGGGCTCATCTATTAAGGTCAGACCCTTTTAGAATAATCTCCCTTTTGATGAACTCAAAATCAGACTGATTAGAGACTTCGCTCACATCTGCTAACTCCCCTCACCCTTGCCCTGTAATGCAGCAACATGGGACTAAACTCCGTCCTCTCTGCCCGCAGTCGGAGGGAGAGGGTAACGGAGTATTGTCAGAAACGGGAGACGAGAATCTCAGGCTTCGGGTTGTGTGAGGCAAGTGAAGAGATGCCGGCATTGTTAGTACTCTTCCTCCTTTGACTGTACAATCAGGAGTGGAATTTTCCCCACCTTAAAGACTCTTGGGGTCTGTTTCTGGTCATTTACAAAACTGCTAAATGGAATGCATGAATTCCATTTGTTCTCTGCCTCGTCACATCTCTGACCCTTCTGAACCCTTGAGAAAACCGCACCGTGTTTTGGACCTGACGCTCTGGCCTTCTCAGGGCTTGAGGTCCAGCTCCACACGTAGTTTACCTTCAATTAAATGGCTTGGCTTAAAAAAAAAAAAAGAATCTTCGGGGCCACCTTAGAATTCTTCCTGCCGGGCTTGCCAACCGTAACATGCACTCCTCCTTCCCCGTCCCTCTGCAATGACTCTAGAAAGAAGGAAACAGCCAGGGTTTAGCCTAACTAAATATTTTCATGAACAAAACGTCCGAGGAAAGGAACGGTCAAGCCCAGTGAGGAGCTTTGCTCTGCCTGTTTTAAAGTTTTTTGAGTCAGATTTCTCTAGTGAAAGCACATCTCAACTGTGTCCACCATACCTCCCACCTCTCCCTAATTAACACTTAAAAAGGAGAAAAGTTCTGTTTCGGTACCACACAGACGTATAGCGTAGCTTCGGGTCGAACTTTAGAAGGAGCTGCTCTAAACCATGCTGCATCACTCCCAGTTCAGACTGTTCTCTGATACGGTTCTCCAGCTCTTAATTTGCTTTTTCCTCTCTTCCACTGTTTCACTGAAAATACTGCATGTGCAATATTATAAGATTCTCGTCCTCTCATTTCAGTTCCTAGATCCCCTAGAGATCTACTTCTGTTACTGTGTTTTATCTTTCTTTTTGGTCATTTGTTCCTGTTTTTAGCAAGCCCAGTGATGGGGTGGAATACCAGGCAGCGCTGGAAAACTGCAGAGGCTCTGAAGTATCTCATCTTCTGTCAGAGAGGATTATCCCTCCCTGCTAGCAAGACAGATATCCAAGACAAAAATGGTTATATTTATGGTCATTTCTGAGCCTCATTCTTATCAGACCTTGAGGGAACCCTGTCCAATCACGTGCCTTTAGCCATACGAAAGCTACTGCTATTTATCTGACTCACGAAGTTAACCCTCTCCTCAGGCTCTTTACCTCCGGACTCAGCCTCTTTCCATAGATGTACCTAGAAACGGAAATGTCTTCTTAAAAAGGTGGCCGCAGGGGACCAGCAGGTGGCATGGTGGTTAAGGCACTGGCCACTCCCACATGGCTGACCATGGTTTGAGTCCTGGCCCTGGTGGCTTGCTTTCTCACTTTCTCTCTCTCTCTTCTCTCTCTCTCTCTCTCTCTCTGTGTGTGTGTGTCTCTGGTCAAGTTAAAATAAATGAATAAACAAAATTAATCATTCTTTAATAAGAGGTGGCTGCCGAATATTGCTCACTTCCGTACAGTTCTCCTCTACGGTCTATACGTCTTTCCTCATCATTACCTCCAAAACATACTGCTGCCTTTAAACAAGGAAACACAAATGAATAAGTAAATAAATACCTTGCATTTCCCCCTGAGCTTTTCTAGTTTATTTCTGTGGAAGGACTATGCTGTGGGCCACATGCTGCTCTGCCTTAGCCAGAAACAGAAGCATTCCGCTGATGTTGTTTTTAAAAGCCTTGAAGTTTTGCCTTGGGCTAGTAGACAAGGTGATGGGAATATAACATCTAAAGCATAAATTCAGCCATCGGAATAAGGCAGAATGAACACTGGGTGAAATGACCACTCCTGCCTAGACGTCTCTCCTTCTATTACATAACAACCCATGTGTGGAACTAAATCTCTAGGTCATGTTTTAAAATCACATCGAGTTGTCTGATTGGTATGCTACCTAGAGATTGTTAAGGCTCATGTTTTTGATGGCAAGAGGAGGAATTTAGAATTTTAAAAAGCTGAAGAAAATTTTTGGATTATATCCAACATAATTAGGCTTTTTTTTTTTGTAGTCTTGAAAGTTATCCTTTACTAATTATGCATTCTACAGAATGAGGAGAAATTATGACTGAAAGAAGCAGTAGTTTTTCTCACCCAAGCATTGTAAGTTCAATTTACATCTGAATGTGGAGAAAAGCTCAACCATGAAATTTTACTTTATTCAAACGTAACATAGAGAGGGAAGTTTCCCTTGGAACGAATTTATTCTGCGGTCACGGAGCATTGCATGGACTCACTGTCATTAGGAGGATAATTGGCATGTGTCTGGGCTGGTGGTAAAATGTAGCTTTTTTCCTCCTCGCAGCTTGTTCTGGCCCTGTTCTTTCAGATTCCGTAAGGGGACTCACGTGTCACACAGACACCTGTCTGTGCCCGAAACCGCGCATGGGTCTGCACTTGGCTGCAACATGAGAGGACAAGGACACGTCTCACTTTGACCCAGACACGGGAAGCCTCATATGTGTCTGCCTCATTTGCAGAATCTTCTGTGGTGCTGGCGCTCCAGTTGGGTGTTCTCAGGGACGTAAAATCAGATCTGTGGCTGAGAATCAGTGTCCTAATACCACGCAAGGACGAGAGCCTGGAGCAGCTTTCTTCTTCTCTGACTTCCTGGCACATGTGCTCTGGCGACTGCATGTCGTACTAATTTCAGTGGCTTACTGGGAATGAAGGGTAATGCGCAGTTCCGTCGTGAGTGCGTCTGTGCCATGACCGCCGCCCTCAGGTATGTTAATTTGAAGTAACCGTAGGAGAAAACGGGAGCAGGGTGAGGTTGAAGGCCACTGCTGGATGGTTTCTGTTCCTTCCCAGCATACGGGGCGTTCGTTTAGTCCGCACTGGGGCAGCCATGTTACTGTAATTCTCACGACTCACCTCCCGCTTCCAGGCTGCTGCTCCTGGGCCCATCCTGTCGCACAGTGGTAAGCTCTGCGTGCATGGAGCCAGATCCCACAGGGACAACTGGGGCTTGGATTCTGACCCAGGAGGCTCGCAGGGCATGCCAATTGTTCTCAAAGTCCCGGTGTGGTGGACAAAGGGAGGAAAGGAATTGTGACGTGACCATGGCCCCCGGGCTGTGCTTTCCCCATCTCTCTTTCCAGCCCTCTCTGCTGCGTGCACACACCCTCTGACAATACAAGTAAAAAGAACATTATTCTTTTAAAGTTGTGACTTAATATGAAGATTCTAGACTATGTCACTAACATCATTTTCAGTGCGTGTCGTTCTAAATGAATATATTCTGTTTATCATGGCCTAGTCCCTGCCGGTGCCTAATAAATGGCGATCAGATTTATGGAACACAGTCTTTCACATTCCCATCCTATATGTTTTGCCTGACTACAGATTTGGTTAGTGCCTTGTTCGGGAGGCCACGATTATGGAAAACACATTTGCTACTCGTGGTTAGGCCATTTGTTTTCTCGTAGGATTTGTGAAGACAGAGAGGATGAATGAATAAGAGCTTTTGTACTGTCACTACCAAACAGAGTGGCACGAAATTCCACGCGGTAGTGCTCACGTGTTTGTATGTTGGTTATTTTAAGGTCTGTGAACAATTCAACCACTATTTAAATTTGTCTCCCCTCCAGGTGTGCTTAGAGATGTATGTCCCGAGGCCAGGTGGCAGTGCGGTAATGGAACGGGACCTGCGTGTGAAGGGCCCTGGGTTCCGGCCCTGGGGCCTCCCTGTCACACATACGCATGCCTATAACTGGGCTGGCTGGGAGTGGAGATGGGTCATGGCGTGAAGACCCTGGTAGGGCTGCTTCTCTCTCTGGCTCTTTCTCTGTCTCTCTTATGAACTGAAAAAAAAATTAAAGTGTAAAACAATACAGTCATTCATCAGAAAGTTTGAAATAACTTGTCCCTTCTTTTCAATGATGCCCCTCTGTTTAAAAGTTTATTTATGTAGATAACTAAAAATATAGTGATGTACATTATTTCTATATATAGAGTATATCTAACTATTTCACCATGGAACATAATATATGAAGATTACGCAAAAAATTAACTTAAAGACATTTTAATTATGCATTTAGGCAAGGAGAACAAAGCATCCCTCTGAAAGAAGGTTCGATCGACCGTGAGAATATGCGTGGGACAGACCACAGAGCAGATAAGGACCGTAGCTGTCCACGCAGACGGTGTGCAGTGGAACACTGCCCTGTGAGCAGTCCACGTGGGACGTCCCCAGGTTCACGCAGGACACACGCTGGCCGGGATCCCAGCCATTGCAGGGACGGATGGATCGTGGCGTGAAGTTCCTGCTGGAGGTGCTTCTTTCTGTATCTCTGTCTCTATCTGCCTCTCTCTATGTCTGTATCTCTCACTCTTTAAAGAGATAAATGAACTTAAAAAACACATATATTTTTGCTCTAAGACACTAACAGGACTAAGGTTGGGTGGGAAATTTGTGAGAAAACAGGCAGAATGCTCATATTTATATAAAACTTATTTTAACGGGAAAGGCAAAACTTTCACTATTGATGAGAATGACGGGCCTCTGGAGTGAAATGTATTAGCACCGTGGAAACTTTTTCAGTAGCCCTGTATTTTATCTGGGCCTGGAAGCACCGGAAAGCTCTCATTCTGTGGGAAGAGAAGGGCCCTTCAGACACAGCCAACGGACGGGCAGGGGCAGAGCTGAGGGGGACTCTGAAGTCCATGACAGACAGCGCCGTGAATGAAGATGGAGGGATGAGCTGGGCCGGGGTGGGAAGGCCTCCAGGACGGAGGAGAGCTCCACATTCCAGGCCGCGTCTCAAGGAAATGGAATACTCCTTCACGCAGTCCTTGGGGGTTCAGCTCCAGCTGGGACACTTAGAATCCGGGCACGATGGTGATGGTCCAGGCCAGGAAGCCGGTGCTTGAGCAAGAGTGACAGCGACAGCAGAGAGCTGAGTGGTCACGACCGTGACAGTGACAGCGACGGCAGAGCTGAGTGGTCATGACAGTGACAGTGATGGCAGAGAGCTGAGTGGTCACGACCGTGACAGTGACGGCAGAGAGCTGAGTGGTCACAACCGCGACAGTGACAGCGACGGCAGAGAGCTGAGGGGGCACGACCGGGACAGG